GCGGCCATGCTGGGCCCGGGGCTCGGCTAGGCGCTGGGCCGGGCGGGGCTGGGGGCGGGGGCGGCGGCTACCAGAGCCAAGCGGCGGCGCCGCCGGGGAACATGGCGGACCCTCTTTCCCTACAGAGGGGCTAAGACCGGCATGCACCGCGCTTTGCGGGGGCGGGGGCGGGGCAGACTCTAGGGACCTGGGCAAAATTACTGAGGCTGGGAGAGAAACAGGACAAGGCCAAGGGATCAGGTTAAAATTCTGGGCCCGCAGAAACAGTAGAGAGTGAAGAGGGAGGGCTATCTATTGCTAATAGCGGCAGTGAATGAGTGCGAGGAAACATGACACTGGTTCTCATGGAACTCCCAGTAGGATGGGGAGACTTAAACCTCAGAATATACTAATAGAGAAAAAAATGTATAACAATTTGACTACCAAATCTGGGTACTTTGGTTGGTAACGGCAGGAAAATAGACGAGGCATTTTAGGTTCTAGAGAGAAGTGACTGTTCAAAATGGAGTTTGAGAAGCTGGCCCTTATGTTTAGAGCCTGTAACCCTGTACCCTGAAGGTACAGGGTTAAAACAGGTAGAGCAGAATAGGCTCCAAGGCTTAAGAATCAAAGCAGGTAAGGGGAAAGGAAGGGATGACACCAAGAGATGTCCAAAGTCTACAGAATTCACCTGAAAAAGACACAGCCTCCCTCTTGACCCATTCAGAAAATAGAGATTTAGAAGGCAGAGGAGTATGTAGAGAACTGGAAATTGGAAATTCGTTTCTCATAAGCGATACTACATATAGTACTTCTGTGCACATACAGAATCTGAGCCCAGGTGACTTATGGAAACTTTATGGGGATGGACCTTCATGGGAAAGGGGATAGTGGGACAAGGACTGATTGTTCAATCAATAATTATTAGAAGGTGGGGCGCCTGGGTGGCTCAGTTGGTTAAGCGACTGCCTTCGGCTCAGGTCATGATCCTGGAGTCCCTGAATTGAGTCCCGCATCAGGCTCCCTGCTCAGCGGGGAGTCTGCTTCTCCCTCTGACCCTCCTGACCCTCCCCCCCCTCTCATGTGCTCTCTCTCTCAAATAAATAAACAAAATCTTTAAAAAATAATAATTATTATTATTAGAAGGTGTGTGTATGACAGTAAGAGATGTACTGAATCATGGACAGAGACCAGTGTATCCACTAAGATCTATGTCTTATTGGCACAGGATCTAAGTAGGGGTAGAAATTCCTGCCCATCCTCCTGCTGAATACTAAATGTGCTCAGAATCTGTTCATGATGGATGATGTTAATTAGGTAAGCAGTGGTCCAAAGGTCTCAAAGAACACCTTTCTAACTCTTCTGTCAATCTCAATGATTTTAGACCTGGGGTAAAAGAAGAGGAAATTGTCCAAAGGGTATTTTTTGCAAAGGGAGCCCACAAAATATCTTTTAGAGGGAGAATTTGGGAGTGAGGCAGAGGTGAAAATGGATCTTTCTGAGCACTAATTGTTCCACTTCACTGTCAACAACCATGTGCTTCAAAGATTTGAGGACCACCAGTGTAAGTGCAGAAATTCCACAAGGAAGGCAAGGGGAGGGGCAGCCATGGGAAGAGAACAAGGAAGGGATAGGAGGCACATCACAAACTTGTAGAAGGAGGGCACCAAGAGTACATAGATCAGGAGTGAGTTTCTAAGAGGGTCTGAATCCCAAGAAAATCACCCTAAGGAGGAAAGGAGGAAGCATGTAATATAGTGAATGCCTCTGAGCAGGAAAGGAGTAAGAAATATACTAGGCAGCAGTAATAACAAGGAAAAGTCATTCCACTTTAGGGGCCCATTGATTCCTACCTTCAGTATATATCCTTCAACTATTCTTAAACTATTTAGCTCCTCACCTTCACTCAAAAGCCATACACACACACACACACACACACACACACACACGTATGTTTGTGCCATGGCTCTCTCTTTGGGAGCCCCAGGCCACTGGGAATTGGTATTTTTTTGCTTATCCAGGCCTTCCCCCCCACCCCCAATATAAAAGAGCAAGAGCATACAAAAGGCATTAAATAGACAATTAAATGACAAGGAATTAAATACAACTATCTTAAAGATTTATTAATGAAAAATACTTTACAAAAACAGTATGTTTGGCCCTAAAATAGTTTAGCTAACTCTGAGGGTTTACAACAGTGACTGAGCAAGTGGCAGTAATGGCTCTGCTGCTGAGGACAGGAAGGTGTGTTAGTGTGCCTGACTCCATCTGTTCAGAAGGACAAATGTTATGTTGGCAGCTCTGCATTCTAGGCCTAAGGTTTGGGGGTACAGGGAAGGGTGACAGCCCATAATACCTGGGCAGGTAGGCTGCCCTGAATGATATGGTCAGGACCATGACCACACAGCTACATGCCCCTCCAAGGATGGGGTACTGGGGAAGACAGAAGGTCAGGTAAGAAGGATAGGTTGGTAAAACAAAGAATAGAAGTTGGCAGTATTGTAGGGAACAGAGGATGAAGGCTCAGGTGCAGTTGGGGGCATAAAGGATCCAGTAATAAAATGGTGACCCTAAGATCCTAAGGAATGACTAGTGTCCAGGGTAATATGGATTCATCTTTAAAGTGGCTCAAATAAAGCCCTAAACAGCAGTTGCTTCCTTTTGCCAGTTGAATGGAAATTGGAATTTCAAATATTCCTCTCAAGGAGCCAGGTCTTGTTAGGGGTTCCAGGTACCCCTAGAAGAAACTGCCAACTCTATGTTGAGATGAAACTAGCACAACCCTGGCACGGATGCAGGGTGCTAACTCCTCCACAGTACAGTTTAACGGAGAAAGCTGTGGCTCCAGGAAAGGAAAGGGGTGACCCTTACCACCTATTGTGCTGCAGGGCTCTTGCCCTTATCTGCTCTCTTCCAGGAGCATCTGCCAGAACAAACAAAAACTCCTCTCCCCCTGCCCTCCTATGCCCAGATTGCGGGACATAACTGGTTTGCCTCCAGTCATCATCTGGGGGCATATCTACTCTTCGAGGACCAGGGCCTCGAGACCCAGGAACAGGACCCAAATTCCAAGCTGACCTCAGGGGTACATGAAGACTGCTTGATGGTGGAGACACAGGGTAAACAATGGGAGGGTGGGAGGAAGAATGGAAAAGATCCCCCCAGGACTGAGCATGAGGAACCTGAAGGCCCTGGCGCCTTTCTGGTAGTGTGGCAGTGTGTGTCGGCTGAGGCTTGCATCCTGGAATACTCAGGAATCTGGCTCCAATATGCTGGTTGGTCTCTGACCATGGCCCCCAAGAGGCATCTGTTCTGGAACGATGGGGTAGACTCTGGTAGTTCAGAGTTCTTCCTGGGTACTTGATCCCCTGGCAAGTTTCACCCCTGTCACACATAGCCAGAAACTGCTGGACACTCCTCGACGTTCCTTGGAAGAGAAAAAGAAACCCAAAGATTAAGCATCTTCAGTAAGCCATTCTCCTTCCCAAAGGACCATTCCTGACTGTTCCTCTCAACTCCCCATACCCATAAGAGCATATACATAAGGGAAAGAAGAAGCCTAGCTTTGCTTTTAATTTCATTTTTAAAAATTCTTAATATACATCAAAATCAAGTCTCTTACCTCCAACCTGGGCAAATGTTGCCATACTTCTAACTCACTCTACTATAATTCTTCCTCCACACCCTCCCCACAAATGGTTCCCCAATATTACAAATATATATTCTCACTGTAACAACTCTAGTCCTAGAGCCACCACTCCAAAACATCACTCTGCTTTTCTTAATATGGTACTTTCACTCCAGTTAATCTGTTTCTGCTTACATTCTTGCTCAGTCCCTGAGATCTCTGTTTTTGTTCACACTACTCCTACCACATACACAGTGTGGAATGCCTTTCCTATACATTAATTCCCCTTTACTTAAAAGAAACAAAATACATAATTTTAAGAAGTCACTTCTATTTTTTTAAGTAGGCTCCACGCCCAGCATGGAGCCCACTACAGGGCTTGAACTGAGCTGAAATCAAGAGTTGGATGCCCAACTGCCTGAGCCACCCAGACACCCCGCAAAATAAAAAAATCACTTCTTAAAAATACTTTCCATTCTTTATTTTATAACCCATCAACATCTGCAGTATGATCTTGTATGTATGTATATTCTGATTATTGCAGCTCTGAGCTCTTTAAGAACAGAGAGCTGCCTTCTTTCTCCCCTATGTTCACTATAGCATTTAGTGCAGAATAGGCTGCCCCTAACAACTGGAACAGATGCCCCTAACAGCTGCCAAAGGGGATGGCTACCTGGCTGCTCCACTGAGTAATAGGAAGTTCATCTACCCAGAAGGCCTGCTTATCTAAACCTCCCTAAAATGTGGACACATATCAATACTACTACTCTTACATTCTGTTCTAGAACCACAACCACACCCTGCCCTAGGGCATTTATATCTGTAAGCCAAGGTTTCTCAATCTCAACACTACTGATACTTTGAGCTGATACTTTTTGGGGGGGGGGAGGGTCATGGAGGTAAACTGCCCTGTGCATTGTAGGATGTTTAGCAGCATCCCTGACTTCCACTCACTAGATGCCAGTAGTACCTTCCCTTTTCCATTGAGAATCCCTGCTTTAAGTAGACTCGGCCTCTTCATGAGGAAGAAAAGTAGCAAATCCTATGGAGGGTGAGAGAAAGCCAGAAGGATGCTATCCACCTTCCCCAAGATTGTCTGGGTCTGTATACACGGCACAGGTATTCCATACACAGGGTCTCTCCAGGTCTCCCATCACTCCTTGTCCTCCTAGACTATCCCTCAGCTAAGACTCGGGATAGTAGGAGAGAAACTAGCTAATAGAGATGATACTTTCTGTTTTGGGAGGATCCTAAAGACTGGGCATTAACTTCCCTTGGTCACTTAAAAGCTTATCTTATCATGATAGACCCTGTTCATTCTATTGGGTAGTTAGACTAAGGATCAAAACCAGCCAACCATATTAACCAAGTAATGATTCAATCACAATTCATCTTGACTGATATTTGATCTTAAAGTGGTAATTCATATCCCTTCACTACCTAACTTGGGACTCCACCTCCCCCTTAGGTGTACTGATTTGATCTTTCTAGGTTGTCTCTGGGAAGGTACCACATTATGGCACATGATAATTAGGTCTAGGGAGAGTTACCTGGGGGTCTATGGGGCTCCCCTGCCATGCTGGGCATCAAGACATCTGGGGACAGGAACTGTGGTTGGGGTGGGTACAGTTGGGGACCAAGGAGAAACACAGGAGGATCATGGATGACAGGGAGGGAAGAGGAGCTGGAACAACGGTGCCCGGTTTCCAAAGGCTTTTTCCTCGCATTTGATGCATCCTTATAGTGAGACAAGACAAAAAAACATAAAGATGAGGATTAACAGCCGGATACGGTTGGGTAAACACAGTGAGGCAAGCAGGGAGAGATGGAGAGGACTGGAGTACCAATATGCCTAGTTCTGTAGAGGGACCCAATTTACTAAGTCACTCTTTCCATCAGCCCCTCTAGGAACATCCCTAGGCCACTACGAACTGGAGACATGGAACTGCAGATCCTCTTCCTTTAACCTGTCTCTCTCATAGCCCTCATCTTCCCAACCCTACCATCTAGGTCTTTGGCAAACTCTTTAATGCTAACAGTAGAATCAGGTTGAGATAGAAATGTAAAAATAGAGAAATAAGAAGGAGAAAAAAAATCGGAAAGCCCAAGAGACTGAAAAAGAAAACTCCATACACTCTCTAAATACTGGGAACTAAAAATGTATCTCCCTAAATGTACAATCAAGAACTCTACTACTCCACCTTCTCCCCTGTCATTGCTACACTCCAGTCTCCTCTTTTGCCAGTCAAGTTTGTAACCACTGATGCTTGTGTCCTGTTCTGTACTCCACTTGTCATTCACTTTTGTGGCAAAGTCTCAGAAATATCCCCTTTAACACCTAAAACACTAACATGTCCAAGACCAAACCAACATCCTTCCAAATTCCACCTCCTGGTACCACATTTTCCTAAGTCACCTAGATTCAAATGTTGACATTGCCCTTACTTTTGCACTTCTCATCCACGATTCCATTAGTTGCCTTTGTCAAGAAATATCATTTCTACCTATAGGTTTCATATTTAAACTCAAGTGGACCACTGCAACAGCCTCCAATCTGATCTTCCTATCTCCAGGCCTGCTACTTCCTTATTGTGGCCTGCAAGTTGCTATGTGATAGCAATGCTGATCTTTCTCACTTTATCTCTACCATTCCTATGCCTTTTTCCCTATAACTTTCTTAATGTTCCTCAAACACACCAAGCTCATTCCAACTCAGGGCCTTTTCACTTACTACTCTATCCAAAATAGCCCTGAGAATAACTACTATTACCTTTTTACTCCTTTTCCCCTTGCTTTGTTCTATTCTTCTCAATCACACATTGTTTGGGGTTTACTTGTTTATTGTCTTTCTCTCCTGGTAGAATACAGTTCTTTTTACTCCAGTATTCCCAGCACCCTCAACAGGACCTGGAACATTACAGGCACCTAATAAATAATAAATAAAATAATCTATATACCAGTATATTTTATTTCCTAACTAGGCTGTAAGCTATTCAAGGGCAGAATTTGTGTTATTTCATCAGTGTATGCTCATAGCACCTACCACAGCATGGTACATAATAGGCATTTACCATACAGCCTAAGGACCAGGTGCCAATCCTCTCAGTATGGGACACAGCCAACTATTCCTTTCTTCTGCACAGAAGAAAGTGATGCCACATTTTCCTGGTTTCCCTTTTATCTCTCTGGTCCTCACTCCTTTTAAGGGTTCTTCAGATGAACCACTTAAATATGATATTCATCAGGGATATGTCTTGGCCTCTCTCCTCTTTTCACAATATTCTTTTCCTCTTTTCAATGGCTATGACTCTTGAATCTTGATTTCAAGCTTTTAAGTGTCACATCCAAAGGCCTACCAGATATCACAAGCATAATATATCCAAAATTATACATATCTTTTCCCTCAAATACATCATTATCAACCCAAGAATTATGGGCCTTGATTCTTCTCTCCCCATAGCCAATCAGGCACCAAGTCCCAATGACTTTTACTTCCTCTTTGGCTCTCCAACATGTCCTTTTCTCTCTATCCTCCCAAACTCCGTACTGTGGTTCATGATATGACTCTTGTTTATATTCTTCCCAGTCTCATTTGTCAACACTGTCCTTCCCTCGCCAGAATCTAATCCTGCCATACCAAATGAGCTGCTTTTGATTCAGTGAATATCTGCTTCATGTTCCTTTACCTGCTGTATTTGTTTTACTTCCTTCAGGAAGCCTTCCCTGATCTCTCAAATCTGATTTAGATGTCCCTTCTATTATGCTTCCATAGCATTAAATCCTATCATAGTAATTCTTTCTTTATCTGTCTCCCCAGGTAGACTGCAAAGGCCATGACAGCAGGGACTACATCTAGCTCACTCACCATTGTATCCCCAGCACCTAGCACAATACCTAGAACATATGCCCAATAAGCATTTGTTTAAAAGAATGAATCAGTGAATAAATGAATGATATAGAAGTCAGGAGAAAGGAAGCCAACTCCTTAGAAAAATAACAATTTGCCATTAAATTCACTAACAATACATAAGAACAAATGCTAGGCAAAAACGACCACCTTTCCCAAAAAGAATGGCAAGCTGTTTAGAGTTGTTTAGGAAATTTTGAACAATAAATTGAAAAAAATGACTGTCGCTTGGGAGGGAAACTGGATCTGAAGTACTAGTAGGACAGAGACTTAGTTTTCACTGTATATCCTTTATACCTTTTAATTTTGATATCATGTATTTAAAACTGGTTTTTAAATTTTTATTGAACTGACCTGGTGAACAAGCTTTAATGCACTGGAGCTTTGCATCCTGACCTCCATTGTAATCAAAACTCAACTTGCCTTAGGCAAGTGTGTGAAATTCTCAAAAGGGTAATTTATAAACCCAGCCACTGAAAATATTTGAGTTATTGATTTCTGCTGACTTCGGTGTCCCTGTCCCTTTCACCTACAGATCACTGCATTGATTCCATATGAAAAGCCTCAAGGAGGAAGATTTTAAATCATTTTCCTTTTCTTGCTAATGCACATGCTTCCTTTTAGCATGAAAGCATACTGGACCCCATTCAATCTTATACTGGAGTGGGGAGGAAAAGGTAAAAACAATACCCCATCCCATGTCTTCCCTTCTTCCCTTGATTAGTGCAATGGGTTTTGACCCAATCAGCAGCTATTGCTTTTGAGACTCAAGGCTACTAGGCTACTAGGACTCTTCTCACCCTAGGGAACCCTATAATATACCTTCCAGAACTGCTACAGGGAAGGGGAATTCCTCTGGGCTCCAACAAAATGTGTGTCAATAAAGTAATGACTATGTGTCATCATTTTTGCTGAGTGCACATGGCTTTCCCCTAAATTACAACTTTTAGTTTCCCCTGCCCCTCCACCTACACTGTACTTTTACCTTAGCAAAAGAAAGAGGGTGCTCTGAATAGATACAGCCTGATTCTACTTACAAAACTGTGGGAAGAGACTGGAGTCTCGTCCCTCTCTGAGACAACGGTGCCACTGAGTCTATGTAAGATGCAGTGAAAGTTCTCTGCACCGCACTGATCATCTTCCCCATATTCCCTCCTGGGGCCTCGGCAAGGTGCAGCCTTCAAACACACAGACACACACAGGCAGACATGAAACACCAGACCTATGGTTTTCCCACAGACCCTGTCCCCAGGGGTATGGGAGAAAATAGGGTAAGACCTCACTACTAGAGACCTGAATTAGATGCATTTGAAAGGTAGTGGCCATGTGGCAATCTCTGCTCAATCACAGACCTTGTTCTCTTCCAAGAGCCCCATGTTACCATGCTCCTGCCTTACCACCAATCCTACCACTCATATCTTTCCACACTTCCTTTCCCAACGCACCACCCCATGCCAGCACTGTAGGACCTGAGGCTGCTACCTGAGAAGCAGGCACTGTGCTGGCTTCATGGAGACTGTGCTCCATTTCTGCTGTTGGGGTCTTTGAGAGACCAAGGCCAGGGGCTGAGTGCAACCTCCTCCCCACACCATCTGCAGAGCCTGAGGAGGAAAACATAAATACAAGTTGAAGCCATCTCTTCTCCTGGAGCCTAACTTCAGCCTGTCAGCAAAAAACAAAACAAAAACAAACAAACAAAAACTCAGGAGTTCTTTTCATGAAATAACAAATATGTATCCCTGAACTGAATGGAGATGTGCTCCTATAATGTAGAAACAGGAGTTTCAGAATATGGATAGTTTCCTATAGGTCAACAAGGGTCTCAGAACAAAGGCTTTGAAGAACTTGTACAGAAGGGGCTCTGTGGAAAGACCGCTGAATGTCCCCATCTTGCCTCATTTCAATTTTTTAAACACAATCAGCTTTGCTTCTGTCAGACTTTTGCCCAAGACTTACAATATATACAGAGGAAACTGTCCAACATAGTTGTTCTCTAGAGTGTCTGTGATGACAAAGGGAACATTATCTTCAGTCTACTTAGGAATTGAAGTGAATATAGTAATCATCTATCAAGCCTCCTATTTTATGTAACAGGAAAATGAGTTCAGGGTTTGAAAGGTAGTAAGTAGATTAATCAGAATTAAAATTCAAGTCTCTTGATCTCACTTCCTATTACTATGGGCAGGAACTCTTCAACAATATTTTGTATGTGTAACGCTCTTTTATTTCCCCATTAGCTTCTCTCAATCACTAACTGCTTAAATTCTAAACAATCACTAAATGCTTATCTCTTCCTCAAAATTTTGCTAGATTATTAAAAACTGCTCCAGGGGGGTGGGAGGATGGGTTGGCCTGGTGGTGGGTATTGAGGAGGGCACGTTCTGCATGGAGCACTGGGTGTTGTGCACAGACAATGAATCATGGAACACTTCATCTAGAACTAATGATGTAATGTATGGGGATTAACATAAGAATAAAAAAAAAA